CAGTCTTCCCGGTGGCAGGAGCCCAGCTGCAGTTTGAGCTCAGCCTGCAGGTGACCTGGGGGCACTGTGCCTCTGCTAAACACAGGTAGGTGCCTGAGTCTTCCAGCTGGGAGGCTGTGATGTGAAGGGTGCTATAGAGGTCCTTAGAATTAAATGTTGCCTCTAACCTTCCACTCCTCTTCGTCCCTAAAGTCACGAAAAACAGATTGATGAGGCTGCCCCCAGGATTCTGTCGGAACCACTGCACTTTGTTTGCAGTAGCAGAAAAATTACACCGCAGAGTAGAGTCGGTTCCCTCTTGGAGACTCAGGGCTGGAGGACTCTGCTCCACCTGGAACCCTCTCACCCCTGGTTGGGAAGAGAAAAGCAAATGCACGTGGTGTCACTGGGGAACAATGATGCAGTTTTCAAACCTGTGAAATATCCCTGAAATACCAAGGAGGCTCCAGGAGCTTCCAGTCAGCTCTCCCTCCCCCCCTCCCACCACCAGCTGTGGGACACCCCTCAGGCCCCTTCCAGGCCAGTCCCAACTCACAGCAAATCTGGACCCACAGAAGCCCCAGCACAGCTCCCAGTCTCCCCTCCATGACAGTTTGCCCAGTGGACAGGGTGCCTTCAGCCCGGCTCTGAGGGTGCCAAGTCTTGTTCTTACAGCCAGTGGGCTCCACCAGATTCACCAAGCACCAGTGACATCTGAGCTCTGTCCTTCATCGTCACAGGAAACCCCACCCACTGTGGCTCAGTGAGACTCACTGTAATGTTCCGCACATTGTGGGTGGGAGCAGAGCAGGAGGGTAGGAGGCATTACTTCCAGTGTATGAAGATACTGCATAAAGGTTTTTTTAAAAAGCAAACACATTACATAAAAGAAATTTGTAGGAAAACGTGTGAGGTTAGAGGATCACACCTCTGAGGAGAATCTGTGTCTGAACTGGGTTAAATAGAGCTTTGGAAAATCATAAAAATAGTAAACCTTCTCTTCTAAATTCATAGTTGGACAGAGAACTTGAGAATTAAATCATGGGAAAATTCTGGTAATGGAAAACTGTTTGAGAGCAGGCGTCTGCATGACGTAAACACGGGCGGCTCGTGGCACAGCGGCAATGCGCGGCTCAACAACAAGCCGGATCTCACAGGGCAGCTGTGATCCAAATCCCCGACCCCGCCAGCCTGGAACGCGCCAGAGACACGCAAGTGCTCAGTGTCCGGTGGATCTGGGACAGGAGGAAGGGGATCACGGCATGGCCAGACCTCATGGAGCGTGTTCACCTCTCTTGTTCTCTCATTCTCATGTGTGCGTGTACTCTATCCTGAATAAAGAAAAGCAATGTTTTTAAAAGAAATAAATACAATGTCTTGAAATCAGGATATTGCTATCTGCATAGTAAATGTTTCCAATCTGAATTTGCTTGGATAAAATAAAAACTGTGGGATGTCTTCCCTGCTTTGATTTCAACATCTCTTCTCTCTCCAGCCCTTTCTCCATACTGATCCCGCCACACATTGCTGCTCCAATTAAATATAGCTGTTTTCCTTTTCTTCTGTTTTTGTTCCTATTTTTCCTTTTTTCTTCTGTTCTATTTTTTCTTTTTTCTAGTCTCAGAGAAAAAATATTTTTAAAAAATTGGTTATCAAGGGTATTAGCATATCCCTGAATTTGGAAAATTTTAGTCATAAATCTTTCTAGATTTAGAGCAGGAAATCAAGATGTTTTCATTGAGCTTCCATGCTAACCATGCCCAGCTAAATTGCACTTCCCTTTTCTCTGCTCACATCACCATCCTGCACAGGTTCTGTTATTTCCTCTTTTCATTATTCGGCCCTCTGGGATCATCATAAATAAGGAATTTCTGGTAAAGCTTAGAGTGCCCCCTAGTGGCCTGAAACCATCAGCAAGGCCACCACAGACCAATTAATGCAGCAATCACACAACCTCAGCCCAGTTCATTCAGGTTTTCTCAAGGAGGAAAAACTCACGGTCAGAAAACAAAGTAACTTCCCCTGAAAATGAGGCAATTGAAATACTGTTTTATTATATCGTGCCATGGAAATTAATAGGTTAAAATAAGTTGGCAATTTCATCTTCTGCCATTCACTTGATTTCTCTAATTTGGTTCAAAATGAATCTATAAACAGTTATGGAATCTGTAATAAGTAATTTACTAGGTTTTAAGTATATATAAAAGAGGGGAACCAGCACTTGGCATAGAGGGTATGTTGCTGGACTCCCATGTAGTCAACCGTGGTTCAAGTCCCAGACCCGGTGGCTTAAACTCACGCCGGGTGTGTGTGCATGTGTGCCCAGGATGCCGAGAGGAGAATGGAGGAGAAGGGATTGCGGCATGGCTATCCCCCCTGGGAGGTGATTTCTCACTTTCTGTCTCTCTGTCTCTCTCTGTCTTTCTGGCGAGCGCACATGCTTTATAGCAAAAATCTCTCTGTCAAAAAAAAAGAGTATGTAAAAGAGGATGGGGCGTTAGGTTACCATATACTGGAAGAAAAAAAAAATACATGTAACTATAATAAAATCAAAGAATAGGATCCTAAGAGGAGTGTAAACTAAAAGCTATCCCGATCCCAGTAGTAGGAAAAATACATCATAGAATGGTTGGATAAAAATTTTCTCCTTCCTCCCTTTTTTGTGAGAAGAATATGAATAAACATGCTATGAGAGCTTTTATGACATTTTTATTAATTTTAACATTAGGAAGAATTTATCAACATATTAAATAGTGAAAATAATAAAATATTACATAGAATAAACAAATCTCCTTTGACTACCACTCCCAATTCTGGTCCTTTCATCATTCATTACCCTAATTCTTTTGTTTTTATAAGGCTTACTTATTTATTTTTAAATTTGCTATAAGGAGTGAGCACTTGCCAGAGAGAGAGAGAGAGAGAGAGAGAGAGAAAATGAGAAAGCATCCCCCAGGAGGGAGGCCATGCTGCAACCCCTTCTCCTCTGTGATCCTCTTGGGATTTGGGGCACACTTGCACATGTGCCTGGCTTGTTTCTCAAGCCCCTGGGTCCAGAATTCAGCCGTGTGGGATCCAGCCACCTCAAGGGTAATACCACCCGGATGGCCCTCATTAACCATTGCCATAATTCTTCCTTCATCACAATCAATTTGAAGTTGCTGTTTCCAAGCATTTTGCTACAGGTTACATACATACACCAAATATGAAACAACAGAATATATTGATACATACAGTATTTGACTTATGCTTTCTTATTTATACCAATAAGTGTTTTGTGCATACTTTTCTTAACTTGTTTTGTAAACTCTGTAATAAATCTTATAGGTCATAGTATATTAATACAAATAGGTGTTTTCCCCGCATTATATTCCTTATTGTGTATATTCTACCACAGATATGCATCCTTTTTTCTTTTGATGGACACTCAAGACGTGGGGTTTTTACCTATGAAATACAACACCACAGCAACCTTGTTTTGAGCTTTCCTCCTTTTTAAATAGTGCCCATGTGGAATCCGCCATGAGAGCTGAGATCTAGTGATTTCAGAGATAAGAGCAATGAAGATGTTCTGCTGAGAATTTACCCTGGTAGAGCCCCTGTCTCCCTCTCTCTGTCTTTCTCTGTATCTTCCTGCCTCTTTGTCTCTGCCTTTTCACTTCTCCCTCTCTCTGTCTTTCTCTGTATCTTCCGGCCTCTTTGTTTCTGCCTTTTCACTTTTTAAAAAAAAATTTTAAGGTAAAGTTTTTTCTTTCTTGGCTCTGAAATCCTTCTTTATCTTGGTAATAATTCTCTGCCCTTTCTCCTCCCATCTAGGCAAAAGAAAGGGCAGGCCAGAAGAAGACTGAGTCCCCCATGAGAGCTGAGATCTAGTGATTTCACGCAGCACTCTTGCATGCCACACAGTTGTCAGTTTTTGTTTTTAAAAATTAACAAATAATTTTTGTTTGCTTGCTTTTTCAATTTTTCTCCTTTTTTCTTTCTCTCCCTATTTTCTTTTTCTTTTCTTTTCTTTTCTTTCTTTTTTTTTTTTGAGAGATTTTTGCTACAGGGCACGTGTGCTTGCCAGACAGAGAGAGACAGAGAGACAGAAAGCGAGAAATCACCCCCCAGGGGGGATGACCACGCCGCAATCTCTTCTCCTCCATTTTCCTCTCGTGATCTTGGGCACGCACGCACATGCGCCCAGCATGAGTTTAAGCCACCGGTCGGGGATGCGAACCACAGTCAACTACATGGGAGTCCAGCGACATAGCCATTATGCTAACTGCTGGTCCCTTTCCCTATTTTCTTATCTTTTTTCTTTTACCTCATCACTTTGCTGCACAGCCTTCACCCACTGAGTGTCTAAACAAGTCTAAGTAAACAGTTGCCAAAATCCGAATACTATTTAGGTCCTCATATTCCTCAATTCCCACTGAATCTGTGACACAAAGGGAGAAAAAGGCAACACCAGAGTTTTCAGACCACATGTGCCTCTGACTGCTGAGACTGGTGTTCTAGAAATTAGGAAGAAATTAATAACCCTTCAGATGACTAGAAATCACCACAGGGAGACAAGAAAAATGCAAAATCAAGAAAATACCTCACCCCCAAGCCACAAGAATAACTCCTTTTCATCCATAGACAGTACAATGGAACTCATGGAAATGTCTGATAAAGAATTTAGAGTATTCATAGTGACAAAACTAATAGAGATGGAAGAGAAGAGAGACAACCAGAAGAACAAAGCTAATGAGTTCTAGGAGGTGAGGAAGTTCTTGTGAGAGCTGAAAGAGGAAATACACACCATAAAAAAGAATCAAATGGAACTGTTGGAGATGAAGGCTATAATACAGAAAGTCAAAACCTCCTTTGAAAGTATTAAACGCAGACTAGATCATACAAAAAATTGAATCTTAGATGTAGAAGACAGAATCGCTGGACCAGTAAAATCCACCACGAAGACTGAGAAAATAGCCCAAAAAATGAGAATAATATGCGAGAAATACTACATACCATTAAACATCCAAACATCTGGATGATCAATATCCCAGAAGGTGAAGAGACAAATAAGGGCATTGATAATCTATTCCATGAAATCCTGGAAAAAAATTTCCCAAACCTAGAGAGGTGGAGAAAATAGCCCAAAAAATGAGAATAATATGCGAGAAATACTACATACCATTAAACATCCAAACATCTGGATGATCAATATCCCAGAAGGTGAAGAGACAAATAAGGGCATTGATAATCTATTCCATGAAATCCTGGAAAAAAATTTCCCAAACCTAGAGAGGTGATCAAAGATCCAGTCCCAAGAAATACAAGGGACCCCAAATAGAATCAACCCAAGAAGATCTTCTCCAAGACACATTATAGCCAGAATGATCTAAACCATAGACAAAGACAAGATACTCAGATTGGCAAGAGAGAAATGTCAAGTTACCTACAAAGGATATCCCATCAGGCGGACAACGGACCTCTCATGGGAAATAATGCAAGTGAGGAAAGAATGGGAAAATATATTTCAATTGTTGAGGGAAAAACAATTTCTTTTTCCTTTTTTTTTTTTTGGAGAGGTTTTTTGTTCACCATAGGGCGCATGCGCTCGCCAGACAGACAGAGAGAGACATAGAGATAGAAAGCGAAAAATCACCCCCCCCAGAGGGGATGGCCACGCCACAATCCCTTCTCCTCCATTCTCCTCTCGGGATCTTGGGCATGCACGCACACGCGCCTGGCGTGAGTTTTTAAGCCACCGGGTCTGGGACGTGAACCGTGGTCAACTACATGGGAGTCCAGCAGCATAGCCATTATGCTAACTGCTGGTCCCAAGGGAAAAACAATTTCAACCAAGAATAGTATATTCAGCAAGATTATCCTTCATATGGGAGAAAAGACAAGAACCTTTTCAGATAAATAAAACCTGAAAGAATTTACCAAAACCAGACCAGCTCTCCAAGAAGTTCTGAAGGGACTGTATACAGAAAAACTAAAGTCAGACACATAGAACTAAGAGTTCTATAACAACTAAGAAAGTGGCCAGATTAATGGAAGGGGTAAGTCCAGAGTTGAACTTTATCTTCCATAATTTAAATGGAAAGATTGGATCACAATAGAAGATAAAGTACATGAGTTTGAACTGGTGAAATAGAATATGACTTTTGACTAAAACATTACTGAAAAAGACAAGAACCTTCTCAGATAAACAAAATCTGAAAGAATTTACCAATATCAGACCAGTTCTTCAAGAAGTTCTGAAGGGAGTGCTATCCCAGAAAAACTAAAATCAGACATAAATAAATAAGAGTTCTAAAAGAACTAAGAAAATGGCCAGCTTAATGGTAGGGAGAAGTCCAGAGTTGAACATTATCTTCCAGAATTTAAATGGAAAGATCAGACCACACAACAGAAAGTACATGACTTTGAACTGGTAAAACAGAATTTTATGATTTTTGACTAAAACTTACTGACCTTCTATGCTTTGTTTTCCAGTGTTAAGGAGTTTTGTCTTCTCTTGAATTGTGGACAGGTTCATGTACCTCCCATTCTAACATAACCTGTTTCCTGGCTTTAAGTATTAAGAACAGTTCTCTTAAGACTTTTTTATTTTGATTTATTAAAGGTAAAACTGCCATTCTTGAAATTAAAGAATGTACTTAAGAAATACCTATTAGTAACCATGTTAAGCTATATAGCCTCGGCTATATGCTATTTTATAGTATATTCATTCTACCCACAGAGTTTCATGCCTGAAGTCAACTGTTGTTTACAAATATGTATGTATCAGCTCAAAATTCTATTGAAAGCATTTAGATTGATTAAAATATTTTGTGAATCAAAAGCATGTAGGAAACAATAAAGAAATGAAAAGCAACTGTAGAAATCAGAGACAGAGTGGGAAGAGGATGGGAAATGGCAGAGGGTGAGAAATAGAGTCAGGGGATATATATATATATATATGAAAAAAGAAATGGAAAATTATTCCTTGTTGATAACATGTATGATTAAGTCACTTTGTATTCTGATTGCAAAAATGCATTTTGTATGCTGTGGTGATATCAGTCTAGTGAAAGTATGTAAAATAAATAAATAAATTTTTTAAATTAAAAATGATAATTAAATACAATCTTTAAAAAAAAATATGGTGCCCATGCTTCACTAGGAGCCGAGACTAGGAGGAAGGGAAAGGATGAGCCACATAGCTAGACGGTGAAAACCACTCCAGGCAGAGGGAAGATCAGAGACAAGGAAGAAGGAAGTGAATTTATATTTCAATGATTTATATTGCATAGGTTTGTTTTTTATTATTTTCCTTTAAGTTTACTTATTTGTTCCTTACATGAGAGACAATAGGGCCCCTGGCAGAGTCTTTATACCTTAATTCATCTCCAGCCTCAGTCAGTCTGGATTTTGGGCACTTCTGAACCCAGTTTGCTCAGGGAGGCTCAAAGACAGGAACCACTGACCTTCTCATGTGGATCCAGTTGCACTAACACTGTGCCACCTCTTGGCCCTACTTTCTTATTATTATTTATTGCCACAGGGCATGTGCACTCTCCAGACAGAAAGCGAGAAAGCATTTCCCCAATGGGGCATGTTCAGGTCACAATTCCTTCTCGTTCATTTATCCATTCTGTCTGTGTCTATGGCAGTTACAGTGGCACAGGCAGTAAGGCATGATTGCACAATACTGGAGTCACATAGGAGGCCCTGGATTTGGATCCCAGGTCGATCTGAATATGCCACCTGTGCCCATGCACACCTGTGGCCAGATTAATGGAAGGGAGGTTGGGAAGTTGGCAAGAAGGACTGTAGTATGGCAAGACCTTCTAAAGGGTACACCCCCACACTCTAACTTACAAGAAAGAAAGAAAATTTTTAAGAAAGATTCTGTGTCCAGCCAATGGTGAGCCACAAATAAATGGATAAACAAACTGTGCTATATTCATATAGCAGTATACTTACTACTCAGCAAGACAGCAATAAATGATTGATACACATGAGAACATGAGTGAATCTCAAGAACATGTTGAAGAAAAGAAACGCATATGAAATAGTACCTACCACATGATTCCATTGATTTTTTTTTTTAACAGGGGAGAGCGCGCACGCAGTCCCCCACTACCACAAATTATGCAGCCAAGTTTCCCGCATTTGGGGAAATCGCAGAGGTCAGCACACCCGCAGTGCAATGGATCAGCCTCGCCCTGGGAAAACCACCTTCGTGATCATGGTGTTTCCCCTGCGAGGTAAGTATGATTCCATTGATTTGAAGTTCAAAAGTGAAGTACTTCTTATGGTGATATAACTAAGAACTATAGGTACCAGCAGTTGGCGTAATGGCTATGTCACTGGACTCCCACGTAGTCGACCGTGGTTCACGTCCCGGACCCGGTGGCTTAAACTCATGCCAGGCGCATGTGCATGCATGCCCAAGATCCTGAGAGGAGAATGGAGGAGAAGGGATGGCGGCATGGCCATCTCCCCTGGGGGGTGATTTCTCGCTTTCTGTCTCTGTCTCTCTCTCTGTCTTTCTGGCTTACGCATGTGCCCTTTAGCAAAAACCTGTCCAAATTAAAAAAAAAAACAAACAAACTGTTTTTTCCAGAAGGCAAATTGATGGGAAAAGAATGCACAAAAATTTTCTTGGGTTCTAGAAATATTCTGTCTTCAAATAGTTTTAAATATTATATTGCTATCTCCTTAAGGATATATATGTCCTTCTTACAAGTAAAGAACTTCCTACTCTTTGCCCAAAATGAGATTTATTGTCTCAGGGTCATTGTATTCACTGCTGATTATGTTGATAACACAAATTTAGTAAGTCTTTCTGAATCTACTACCTATACAATAGATTGTAAAGTTTGTTTTCAATAACTTGTATGCAAAATAAAAACAGGGACCAGAGAAAGAAGAAAATGATTAGAATACACAAATAAGCACATACAAATAACAAGCAAATAGATATTAAGCAAAGGTATTATAGTTCTTTTCTTCTATACTTGCTTATGAGCTGTAATTGATTTCTATGGCTTCTCCCATCCATGCCTACTCCACAGTTCCCCTTCTCTTGGCCAAATCTCAGCTGGTCTGGTTCTTAACCTGGGTGACTGACCAAACATTCATTCTGGAAAGATCTGAGTGCTTCGTTGTCCTGCTTCTGTTGGTTGCTGAGGTTTTCCATTAAGCTTTACCATTGGGCATGGAAGTACTAAGAGGCTGAAAACTTTATTTCTTGCTTCCACTGTCTAGAAGCAATGCAGCTTCCTCTTCATAATCAGGAACAATTACCATAGCTAATAGATTTTTTTCTTCCATGTTGATTCAGTGGCTAAGGAGATCAAAATATCCAAAAGGTAATCCTATCATCCATTGAGTGAAACCTTTTTGTGTTCCCTGGTAGAAAATAAATCCCTTAGGGACTAAAAGTTCCAAATCAACAGTGTAAGGTTGCCGGAGGTGGAGCTAAAAGTCTGCAGCAGGTTGTGGCTGGAATGATGTTTAGCCGCCTCTCCCATGTTCACCTCTTGATTACTGGACCCATGTGCTCTGGCTCTGTGAGAGGCAGCCATGGATGAAGGTACCTGGTTCAAGGTACATGTGAATCCTATGAAACCAAACCCTACCCTTGCAGAATGCTGTCTCCCACTGGCACTGGAAATTAGTCCTCACTCAGCTGTTCCAGCTTGCAGTTAGGGCAGTTGCTTCTGGGTATAGCTATCTAGTAAGATCAATTAATCACACAAAAAGGCAGAATTCTTTTGAAAAGTCAAAATGATTTGCTTCATTGATAAATTTGCTCAAGATGTATACCTTCTTGACTTTGAAAAGTGTTATTGGATGCTAAAAATTTTCTCATAACAATCATATAAAAACACCAAATGTTAAAGGAAGGAAGAAAGGAAAGCAGGAAAGGAAGGGAGTGACAAAGAGCACCTTGATTTCTCAGGCAGAGTTGGTTGGGGGGATGGGGGTGCTTTCTCAGCTGCTTGGGTCCTTGAAGTGTAACTTATTTTTCTTTAATATCCAGCTTAAGTTAACAATAAAAAGAATTGGGAAGTTCTTCTCATAGCAGTCTGTGTTAAGCTACTTTTATAACCATGTAAAAGTGTTCAGGTAAACAATAGAAAATTGTAAATCTTTATTCTCCTACTCAACTCTTAAATAGTCACCAGAGCTAGCATGCCCATGATAATTTTGTAAATCATTCATGAGTCTAATCAATAGCCTATTGCTGGTTGGTAATACCTAACAATTTCTTCTTCACAATTGGCTGGTAATATGTCACAATTTCTTCTTTACCATTTCTACAGAGATATTACTATAATATTCAGAAAAAAATATTCCAACACATTCTGACTAACACAGTTAGAGCTGGGAAAACAAATTCCAAGAAAATTGTCTATAGGAAATAGGTGGAAAAGAAGGCAAACTTGGAGAAAAAGAACACAAGGAGCTCATCTGTTGTTTCAGGTTGATTGAAAAATAAACTGATGACTGAAATCCCACCTCCTCCTAGGCTGTCCCAATTCACATAATCAACGCGTTAAGACAGTCTCAGGACAAGTCCTTAAGGTCCTGATTATTACGTGATAAGAACACAGCCTCCTCCATCATTCTAGAACACTAGTTATGTGGCACTACGTAGTTTCTACACTGATGAAAAAGCTTCTGAAACAAAGTTTATCAGATATAGGGCTCAGCAAGAATTGCAGAATTAAGCAGAATTCTGTTCCTGGATCTGCTCATTCCTCTTTGCCCAGTCACCATCATACCACAAGAGACCTCTTTAGTACCACAGAAAGATCTTGAGTCTGACACCCCACAGCCATGGGTGGTTTGTGTGCAGCTCCCCCTGCAGCCCCAGGCACTGTGTCACCCAGAGCACAGAAGTACTCAGCCGTGTCAGTCCAGTGCACAGACGGTTTCCTCAGGTGGAAGGAAGAGTCACTCTTCTTAAATTCCGCCTCAAAGCCGTTGTTGCCTTTAACCAGGGCGTCTCCTGAGATGTACTTGAGGAGAAGCTGGAGTCCTTGGCCAGGGTACCGGACATACCAGAAGAGATAAGGAGTTGAAGTACCGGAATAGGTGCATCTCAGCTCCAGTGAGGCTTTCTCAGAGACAGTGACATGACTGTCAGGCTGGGTCACAGACTGGGCTCTGGCATCTCCTGTAAAATCAACATTCTATCAGAGAAAGCTGCCAGACATCACTATGAAAACAAAGCATCTCTAGTCAGAACCTGCAGAACTAGAAAATGTAAAGAAATTTTACTCACTCAGGACAAAATGTATGCCCAGGACTGGGATGAGCACCAGGAGCATGGCTGAGCAGTGGAAATGCTGCAGGCTCTTTTCTGGAATGTTTCCAAGAACAGGAAAGAAGCTGGCTGCAGAAACCAAGACTTTGGAAATAGGAAGTGGGGTGAAAATGCAGCTGGACAATTCCTTGCTTAGATAAAAATACAAAAGCTGCCAAAATGAACCTGGATGCTTTCTGGCCTCTGTTCTTATCACTTTTCTATGTATGTCAGGAACTCAGCTGCAGGGAGGAGCCAATGGTGCACACCTCCTCCAGGCACAAGATCGCTAGTTTGTGCACCATCGCCCTCTAGAGACCAAGCTCAGAACTAAAGGTCCCAAAACCATCTGGAAGTTAATTAAGTGCTCCTTCTATTTTATGAGATACTCATAACTATCACACAATTTCTTCCCAAATCTTTGACAGTCAATTAATTTTACGGTCCATTATAAATGGAATGCCTTGTAAAAAGAGAATTTTTCATTATAAAAACAGTTTGAAAAAGTAGATCAGACTTCAGATCCAAGTCCATGAGAGTCTGTGGAATCAGGCCAGATGCCTCAGGCTGAGTTTATATGGCCCAGTGCTACCATGGTGTGCATAGAGGGTGATGGAAATAATTCCTTTGGCTGATGCTGTGTACCTATTACAGTGTAAGGTGGGGCCTAGAAAATGACAGCAGTGCTACAATGTCCCTAGTGACAAGATGTGACTCTGGATGGGATGGCTTTGTCTCTAGGGCTGAAGGAAACATGCTACAGAAACTTCTGGGGCCAGAGAAAATATAGTCATGCCAAAGAGCCATACTACATTTCATTGTTCCATTCATCAGTTGATGGCATTGGGTTGTTTTTACTTTTGGGCTCTTTTGAGTAATACTGATATGGACATTTGTGTATAACTTTTTGTGTGGACCTAGGTTTTCATTTCTCTTTTGTGTATATCCAGAGGAAGAATTGTTTTCCATAGCAGCTGCACCATTTTACATTCCCACCAACAATGCATAAGGATTCTAATTTATCCATGTTTGCCAACCCTTGGTATATTATCTTTGATGTTATCTATCTTAGTTAGTAGGTATGAAGTTGTACGTTACTGTAGTTTTGATTTGCATTTCCCTAAAAGTGGATGGGGGTGAGTACATCTTTTCATGTGCTTATTGGCCATTTGTATATTTTTTTGGAGAACAATGTATTCATATTCTTTGCCTACTTTTAAACTACATTATTTGTTTTTTTACTATTAAGTAGTAAGAGCTATTTATTTATTTGGAATGCAACTGTCTTATCAAATACTGGTCAAAAAATGTCATGAATGTAAAAATTTAGAGGGTGAAAGGCACACACAAACACAAAAGAAAACAAGAATATGCTCCATTACCAGAATTTGATCTTAGCAGGTATCTAAGTACCTATCAAATATTAACTCAATTTATGGTGCTGTGGTATAAAGGAAGAGTCAATTGAAGGTGATCATAATTTCAAATTTATTAAGTATTGAATCAAATTTAAAATACAACTTTGGACAAGATTTCAGTATTTCTAAAAAATTAAAAACAAGAACATTTTGGTAAAAACATATTTTTCAGGAAACTATCAGTGACAGGTACAGCCACATTGAATCTGAGTTGATTAAAGAATGTAAATTTGTACCAAGAGTAATTTATGTTTTATATCGATGCATTATACAATAAATAAGATTTTAAATTTTGTTTTAATGTGCATAGATAGATTTTATTTTTATAAAACTTTACCTCTTAAAGTAAACCTATTTTCATAGGCTGATTATATATTCAAAACAGTAGGTCAATTAGTAATTTTGGGGGGGTAGTTTTTGCTATAAAGTACATGCAGAGAGAAGACAGAGTGAGAGAGAAAGGAAAAGTGAGAAGTCACTCCCCCACCAGGGGGCTGGCCACACTGTATTCTCCTCTTGGAATTTTTGACATGTAGGCACATATGCTCGGCATCATTTTCCAGGCACAGGGCTGGAATTCCAGCTGTACATCCAACCATGTGGAATCAAACCTCCATGCCACCTGCTGGCCCAACTCTTTCAATGAAAAATAAATAAACAACAAATGAGCAAAATTGAAAAATCTGTTTAAATATAAAATTTGGGAGCACAAGTACTCTTGTTTATTCATTTCATTGTTTCAAGATGAAGTAGATTGGTAAAACTTATTTCAAATGCAATTTCATTGAGTTTCATATTTTATAATTTACCTAGACTAAATAATTATCTCCTTTTTATTTCACTTTATTTCATTTTTGCCTTTCATACTCTGTTTATGTGTATCCTTAATCCACCTCCAAACCCTCTAAGAAAATGAAAAGTTCTTCTCAATACAGACACTTAGATAAGACAATCCATTATTAGTTATATTTTCTTTTCCATTGGAAATATTACTCTACAGTCACCAATTTTCTGCTCTTCTCTGGAGAAAATCAATGACATTATGAGTTTTTTGTTCTTTCTTTTTATCAAGTTTAGGGTTTTTCTTTCCTTGAGTGTGCCTATCTCTTCTCCTGCCACCCTGTCAGAGAAATATTGTAGATGCCACCTTCTTTAGCACACTTTGGCTCTCTAAAAGTATCTCCAGACACAGCAGTGTACACCCAGATACCTTAGAACGAGACTCAGGAACTGGACTGTGTCTGCAGCCATGAGCATAGAGACCACCTCATCGTTTCTGTGACTTCTCCCTTGAAATTATGTTAGCCCAGATTAAGAAACTATTGAAGTTAGACTGTTTTTCCTAATGAAGTTTTACTGATTTTACTAATGAAGAATTGGGCGGGGGCAAGGGGCTGTTCACTTTTTGTCTTTTTTCTCCAGCCATTTGTATAATTTTCTCATCACCTCAAACCACAAGAGTAGAAGGGAGAAGGGCCTGCAGCACGGTCATCTCCTATGGAGAATGATTTCTCACTTTCCTTTCTCTGTATCTCTCTGGCTTTTTCCTCTCTCTAAAAAACACATATATATTAAATAAATGGAACTGATATCAAAGTTATACAATGATTACATTATAAAAAGTTATAAAGTTATGGTTGAAATTGTAGGAATTCTAAAAGTACATTTTGAGAAAATGAGACAAATATTCTGTTCTCCATTCAGCTGTCAGAGCATGTGAAATTCCATTAAACATCTTTCCTCTTGGAACCAGAGAGTGACATGGTGTTGTAGACCACCAAAGCCAAATTAAGTTTAAAGGGAGTCTTTATTAGCTGGCCAGCGACTACAGTCTTAGGGCACTGAGAGTCAGAACTGCAGTCCCGACCAAAGTTTGAGTAGTCTTTTTATAGGGGGTCAGTTACCAGGGGTTTCTATGCAAGCAGTTACAGAAGCTGAATCAAGCAGGTTAATTATTTCTGAGGGGAGTGGGGTTTCCATGCAAGCAGTTACATTGCTAAGCAAAAGGGTTTCGGGCTAGTTAGCAAAGACAGTAGCAGGTACAGGATGTTGTCCCGGATATGGTTTTCTACACGGCTAGCACAAGCTATTTTCTCATGGGAAGAGCAAGCAGGTTTACAGAAGCAGCCATGTTAGGGTTAAGGGAACA